AAACATAGAAGGGAAAAGTAAAAACCTAGACTTAACGTACATAGGGCTTATTTACATTTTGGTTTCCTACAGAATGTCATTTTGTTTAAAGCTTTACCAAGAAAGTTTTACGGCTTTCAAACACCGCGACTTACCCGCTCGTGTGATTGTTTATAAGACAGCTTGGTTTTGAGAGCCTGAAAACACATCACCAAGGCTCTACAACGTTTTTACATGTGCGGACATTTGACCGTTTTGTTCGGAAAGTGTCGCTTCAGTATACAATTTCCACGCTGAATTCGGTTTGGATTGTAACTTGAATCTTATGTCCAGAGTCCTGAGCACAAGCCGTCAAACAATCCGATGTACATAAAAATCTTTGAAGTAGCGTTTCGCGTCGATCGCGAACACTAAAAACTTACAGTTGTTACCCATAATGTGTGGTAAGTGAAGTGAAAATGAAGGACAATGTTTCAAAGTTTAGGTGTTCATTTTTGCTCTCTTTTGGCAGGGATCCTGAAGACGTAGATATTCAATTTGATGCCGACTCTTTCATGGACACCGTGGGGAACCTGTTAGGTACTTATATGCTTTCGATTACTTCCAATATGCTTTCTTGAACCATGGTAATGCAGAGGTTTCAGAATATATCAGTTGTTAAATTATCTCTCTGCACACCTCTTACAAAGCGTTCTTATCAACTTCCAGTTTGCTATTTAACATATTTTAAAAAGCTGGGAGACATATCTCGTTCTCATTCTGGATTAACACTATGCGACATTCAGTTGAACTAAACCTTCAGCACTTCTTTGGTTTTCCTAGCCTTTCCAAAAACGTTTTGCCCTTCTTTTTTTGTTGTATTTTAAGTGGTAAGCGTGAACGAGGTTGTGTTGTGCAGCGATTAATTTATTGATTATCAGGTCAAGGCGTCCGCCATCGAGATGAAGAAAGTGATTCTGATGCAGACGATGAAGATATGGACTTCTCCTCAGGAGATGAGAGTGAAACTAATCAAGGTTAGGCCATCTCTATTGTGGTCTGTTTATGGCCATGCACGCCTGGCTGTTGTATTTTTTCAACACAGTTTGCCATAACAACAGCAGTTCGAAGAATGACAGCAATCTGATTTTTCACATGAACGACTCTCGCCAAACAAGTACGATTGACGATTGGTTCATACGTAAGCTGCATTCATCGTAGCGCGTGGGAGGTTTGGAGAACATGAAAGAGGACGAAAGAGGCGTAATAGTTTCTCGCGCACAGCCGAGAGCAACTTTAGCTTTTTAGGTGCTCTTTAAACTTCCCAAGTGCTTCATATCTCAATTAATTCACGCTGACGCAGAAACCAATCAGTGCTAATTGGCTGCGGGTTTTTATTTGTTTGTTTGTTTTTTTTCTTTCAAATTCTACTTAGTTTTCCGATTTCTGGCGTCTTAACTTTCAATTTTTGTCTTAGGTGTCGAAGCTAGTACTTACCTGAGCGAGGACGACAAAGAAATGAAAACGTTCATGGAAGAGATGGACAACGAACTTGCACAGACATCAATCGGAGAAAGCTTCGAAAAGGTAAGCTTACTATTAATCCCTTCACTCACTCACTGTGATCAGTAAGTGCCGGATTTCTCCGCACAATGTTGATTCATGGTGAGACAGAACGGCGATAAGAATTAAGAAAACTCTGATTCACTGAGGGATATTGTCTGATCCAAGCCCAAATTCTCAGGGTTGAAATAGAGAGAAATGTTTGCCAGACAGTAAGGAGAATTGAAATTGAGATCCTCGGGGTGTAAGAGTCAACTGTAATCGACTCCGACCCCTTAATTAAAAAACCCTCCCCTTTTATGAACGTTTTCAATTTACTTACGCAAGATATTGCTCAAAATATCTCCTAGCGGAAGATATGGCTCAAAATATTGTCTGATCATTTCATCATCAGTTTGATGTCTATTTGTTTGTCCGTTTATCTGTCTATCCACCTGTTTGTCTCAGTATCCTTCCATCCATCCTTTTGTCTGTTTGTTTTTCTATGGTAATCCTCTCTTTGATTGATCCAGTTATTTATTCCCTTTATCTCTGAACCATAGAGCGGTAAATTACCTAAAGAGACTCGTCAGACCCAAACTAACCATTCCGGTGAACCTCAGTGTGATTCCGACGATGATGCGCCTGTCGACGTAGACTTCAATCTTGTTAAAAACATCTTGGAATCCTTCTCTACGCAACAAGGACTCGCGGGTCCTGCATCTAATATCCTTAATTCGATGGGTGTGTGGCTTCCACCAAATAACGACCAGAGCGATCCCACTTAGCTTCACGTAACAGAAGTGAATCATTGTGTTCAAAAGAACATTCTGATCGATTTACAGCCAGAATCGGCGCAGAAGAAAGGAGCGAAAAGAGCAAATTTTGTCTCCTAAACTAACGCCTTCTTCCAAGAAAAAACATTTGTATCTCTTGACCAAAGTTGAATACACGTCCAGGCGCTCTAGAACTGCGACTTAGTTAGGGGAACAAAGTTAAGGAGCCGACAACAATTCACTTTGCGTCAGATTTGACAGATTCGAGAGAGCAAAGTGGTTCTGGAGGTAGTTTGGTTGTAAAGTGCATCACATAAGTTTAAAGTTGCGCGTGGTTTTTTCAAAACAAAAAGAAAAGAAAGCGAAGTACAATTCTACTGAAGTGAAAACTGTCAAGAGAATATGTTTTTGCACCGTTGGGTACAAAGTTAAACGAGACGAAGTAAAACACATGGTCGCTTTTGGTTATATTTCTTTCATAGAAATATGACGAGTCGTTACATTATACCGGTTGCATTCGTAACAATATCAAAGAAAACTCTCCCTGTTTAATATAGTGTTGAGACAATACGCTACTGCTTAAGTATCATGACCTGAGGTTTCCGTTCGCAATACGCGTTAGTTTTCTGTATCCGCCGTTTCCACCCTCGTTTACTATCATCCCTGGAAAGTTTTTTCTTTCCTTGTCTAAATGTGGTGACTTTCCCCAATTTGACGGCTTCTTGTATTGATTTCTAGTATCATAGCTCACTTTCCTCCTTTAAAGTTTCGCAAATAACTATTCCTCTGCATCGTACTTTTCTCCCCTTCGTGTAAGCGTTTGTTTCCTTCAACTGCCTCACGCACCTTACTAAGTAACGCTGAAAACCGTTAAGTGCTGCACTACACTCAAGAAGCATTCTCAGACGGGGTTAAAGAATGCTTCTGCACTCATGAACGTCTTTCCAAAATGTTTATTATTCAGAGGAGCCAATGAAAAAATAATATAATTATTTTCTCCCTCGATTCGTCATTTGGCGCACGCTTTGCGTTTTTTTTTTTCAAATAATTATTTTCTCCCTCGATTCGTTATTTGGCGCTCACTTTGCTCTTTTTTCAACCAACTTCTTTATTCCTTTTCGAAGTCTGAGGCCATTGTATCACCTTTATCAAAAATAGTTCTTTTGCGGCACTCTTTCTTTGTTAATTGGAAATGTCCTCACCTTTGTTAATGACAGCTCCTCACGACCTGTTTAATTAGCGGTGTTGACTGTGCATACATCTGTGTTTACTTTCAAAGCGAAGCGGTTAAATATTAAGCAAAAAACCGCAAACTTGTATCGTATTCCATATAGCTAGCTTCGAATGAAAGTGACCTTTACACCAAATGTTCATCGCGTTCCGAAGCATGGCAAAATTTTCAAGAATTTATTTAATCCTCGTGCTTTGTATCGTAACTACGGTGAGCGGCGAGGACTCGCCGGACAGTGCCGTGACTCAAAATTATTGTCCGTATTTCAAAAACCGAGCTCCTGTTCCTCAACCGGGCCTCAAAAATTGTACGTGGTACAAAAAAAATGCCTGCTGTCTTCAAAGCGAGCTGGACTTAATATTCCCGTCAGTTTCGCCCCCGCTTGGAGCGAGTGAGCGATGTTTGCGGTACACCAATTTCCTCATGTGCTACGTTTGCGCTCCCGATCAGAATTTATTTTACGACAACGAACGTTTGACCGTGTGCGGAGGTTTCTGTGACAAATGGTTCGCCGCCTGCGGTGATGCAAAATTCAAGGGAATGAAGATCAAAGAGCTGTTTAAATCAGGAAAAGAGTTTTGTCGAGCAAGGAAATTTTCGGTCGGTGAGGCTACCGGGAAAGATTGTTTTAGTTTTGAACAAAAAATCACGAGCTTTGCTACGCCAAGGCTTCCCTCAGAGCATGCTCTTTGGTTGGCCGCAACAGTGGTTGTCCTGTTTGTGGATAGAAGTTAATAAATGTAGAGGTAAACCAGCTCTTTCATTTTTAATGTTATGTTTTTTTGGCAACCCTTTTCATTAATCCAGATCTGGGTTTGCTGGACAAAAGACGGGGTAGATTGTTATCAAGTATATATCCTTGTTCTGAGAGCATATGCTCTCAAATGAATTTCATTGGGTTTTGGATCGGATTATAAAACCCTTGTATAGTTCTAGTGGCAAAGGAAATAGACAGAGAGAGGTCGGTCTGATTGGATCAAGAGCCATACACAGATCAGACCACATATCGGATCACGGATGGGACTACGGATCGGTTCACAGATCGGAACACGGATCAGATCACTGATTGGATCTCCGTTCATATCTTACTCCGCATTAAAAGATAGAGAGAAGAACCTAAGTTGATAGAAACATGGAAATAGGTCAATAGAGGGTTAAACAAACAGTAAATTGAAAAATTGAGTGACGATGTACGGGGCCTTAGTACTGCTGAAAAGGACTCTCAAACTAATTAACAAGGTTGCTTTGCTTTAGTAACTTTTCTCCATTGCTGAGCAGAGGGTGTTTTCTCGCTTCATGTTAGGTCTTCCTTACAAATGCAATGGTACCACAGTAAGTCTTCTGTTTGTATGTAACTGGTGGGTCTTCTAGTTATTGACTAGGCCGCAGTTGTTTTGAGGAGTAGAAAGCATTATCCATTGGATAAATCTCTTTATGGTGGATAGCACAGTATGTTTTGCTATCTCTTATCTGCTAGATAGCTATTTATCTTTGGACTAGATGGGCCCAGAGTGTCTATTTTTGCTTTCCTTTTACTATACTGCTTGATGAAAGTAGGTTCTACATAACTGTACAGCTACAGGGTTAAACTAAGTTATCTGCAACTGATTGTATTCTAGGTATGCAGCTGCTTTTAAGATGGTGATGGACAAGAAGCTAGATTCTCCTTTTTTTTCATCGTAAACCCCTTGGTGAGATGCAGTAAAGTAAATTTCATTGTCAAACTGTCAAGTGAAAAGTTTGCCATTTTGCGAAGACAAAAGTCAGTATACTAAAATGATGACTATGTATGAATGAAGCAATTACTCACAATTACTTACAATTACAAGAACTCTTGTGGTGTCTTTCTCTCGTGTGGAAGAGCATTTGTATGAGATAGGCTGAGTAGAAACTCAGCAAAATAAAACAAGAAAAACCTGCCTTGTACCCAGCACTGCTCACCCTAGGCACATTCCAAACAACAAGAGCTCAGAATGCCAGCAATATTTAGATTTTTGTTGATATCAATATTATGACTACAGGATTTAGGATTCATTGATACTGCAGGAATGATTGGTACATACCACAGCACAGCATGACCTTAAACTTTTCATGCCAAAAAAATTGAATTTAATTCATTACATTTTGAGTAATTACATAGGCAATCACAATAGTGATTCACCTGGTACAAAAATTGATATATCGTACTCATTGTGCCCTGCATATCTTAATGTATAGATTAAATAACATTGGTGTTACAACTTCTTATGCGGGAGGTGCAATAAATATCATTGGCCATATGTGATGGCTCAACAACATTCCTATCTCAAAATAAATCCTTACTTGTTTTTAATTTCTTCTCTCAAATTATATTTTGATCCATTTGATAAGTCTTCCATTCTGTGTTATACATTCTCAAAGTTTTAAAAGTCGCTTGTAAACACGAATGACAGAAAAAATCCGTTGGAAAATTAATCATTTCAGTCAAATAATTTCTTTAGTAAAAAATGATCCTAAATGTGTTTAAAAAAATGTCATCGCCTTTTGAGGAAAACTGATTCCTTTAAAAGGTATTGTTTTTAAGTTTCTGGCGAGACATGTATTAAATTAACCCATATGTAGTCATTGCTATGACAGCAACTTTGAAAATTTGCGCCAGCAAATGATCATATTGGTCATAAAACTGTCACACAGACCTGTGTGAAATTAAAGTTTGTTTACATACACACTTAGTTGCTGATAATAAAGGGAAGCTTAAATGTTTTGCCATATTTTATGTGGCGTAAAGATATATTTGGCATCTGACCACAACAATATTGATGATATGATTATAATTTCCCAACTTTGAACTTATTAACCGGATAATCCTAAGGAAAAACAGGACATTTCCTTCGAACGAAATAGTGTAATGTCTTGCGTAATATGTTCCCGGTTTTGTTTGAGTAATTACTTAGTTTTTTGATAGACCATTTTAATTTCATAAAATATTCGCGTGCAAAAAGTGCTTACTGCATCTTGCTTTCAGCAGCAGGCGTAGAGTCTATGTTTCAAGGTTAATGATTACTGTTGTCTGCAACAATAAATGCTCTTTCAAGTAAAATGAATGTAACTCTGTATATTAGCATAATTTCGACTCCTTTGTTTTTATATTCCTCTAATGAGAAGGCTTAAAAACGTGCTTTCCTGAGGAAACGTTTCATATTTTTTCTGCAACTTTTGACATTTACCTTTCCGAAAAGAAGTCGCTATGAAATTGATAAAGCTACCACGAACTTTTACGCGAATGGTGATATCCAGGCTTACCTTAATACAGCTGTTCACAGTCGTGTTTATATTGGCTCGTGGATTACATTAGGTTTTCAACTGTGTGATTTGAAAGACGCGAATAAAAATCCATAATTTGTCATAAAGCTTGGCTAAAATCGCGTGACGTGTCTCCTCATAACAAAACACAGTGCTTCGCAATAAGAGACAACATTCCTAAGACAGCTACAAACTTGCTATTCACGCTCAATTGTTGGGATGCACTCTTTGTGTTTGGTTTTCCTTTATAAGTGAAGCACTTTCCGTGGGCTTCTTTATCCGTTTTGAACCGTCGGGCCTTGCAGAACTCTTGGCCACTTTTGTAAACGTGCTCGAGTTTACGCCCTTTCAAGATTGCGTTTTGGCACGCGTTATAGATATGATCGCAGAATTCTTCGCAAACGGTCAGAGTAAAATCCTTGAAAAACGTATTTTGATTCGGCGCACATATGTAGCAGTACAAGTAGTTCATATATTGTGCACACTGGCCGTTTGCACCTTCAAGTGGAGATAACTGACGGAAAGCAAACTCAATTTCTTCGTCATGACAGCATGAATTCTCTTTATACCAACTGCAATTTCTCAAATTTTCCTGCCGAGACGGACCTCGATTTTTAAAGTAAGGACAATACTGCACATCGCCGTTCCTTCTTTCAATGCCATCAGCTCCGACAACAAGAAGCAAACTCATCAAACCACAGCATGTCCAGAGTAATGACAAAACAATACACTGATCTTCCAAACTTGTCTTCATGGCACGATTCTCTTCAAAACGCTCTGCAATATCGATGTCGCTGTTTGTTTACAGTGAAAGTGCGTGATCTTGGACCAATACCGCCACATGTAATGATGACTGATTCGATCACTCGTAGGGTTCAGAGGCGATTACACCTTCCATTTCAGCGTTCGGTTCGCGCGAACCAAAACATTTTAGCTAACTCTCTATTAGTTGTGGGTAGTCATTCGTCGTAAGCCACTGCCGGAAATGTAGTAGACCGTAAACATAAATCGTTGAGACTGTAAATTTACCTCGTAACTTGTGTTAATTAAGAGGGATGATAATTGACATTCTGTCAGTACTACCCTCAGGGAATCACGCACAGGCGGTAATGGGGCGTGACTGGGGTAAGTTATCTCATCAAAGTTATGATTTAACTTTCGTCCAGAGTATTTGATGGTTACTGTAATTTTGTTGATCAAAAATATTTTGTCGAAACCTCAACGAAACTTTTCCTAACAGAGCTCGGTTCCAAACGCTATTTTATCTCTGTGAAAGATGCGGGGGGGGGGGAGGGAAGAGGGGTAGTACGGGGTAGGGGCAAGTAATCTTTGGTCTTTTGTATTTCAGGGTAGTGTGCTTTCCTAGTTTTAATTCACGCCCTTTCCATGTTGCTCGCGAGCAATTTATATTTGAATGTTGATGTTCATTAAGTGTACCAAGGAAGGGGTCCATTAGATGAGAAGTGATTTTCAGGCTAAATTAGGTACTGGAAAGTGTCTACTGCATCTTGGGAGTATTATTTATTCACATTTTTAATGATATCAAAGCAGAGATACAGTCCTGCAAAGACTGCATGATTTTCCAGCCTATAAGATTACCAATGTACCAAGCTAAGAACAAGAGCTTGTGTCCATAGTGATCTTATGTTTTGCATGGGCTTAAACAATGTGGATTTGTTTGGAAGAAAATGGTTGCATTAATGACCAAGAGATTTAATTAAGTAACACTTATAATAAATGGACTTTGATTTGCGGAATGGATATATCAATCATTCAACGCCAATTTTTCTTCTCCTATTTTTCTCATGACAAACCTGCCTAGCCCAAATATCAGCTCTTTTGACAATTTTATTCCCAAGATCTAGGGAGAAATTCACCCTTCAAGTTTCTATACATTTTATTAAACATTAGTAATGAGAACTTGATATTATAATCAAGATTAAATGGTCCATTGGATAAATTTGTCTATTACACCTATTTTGGAATCATTGCTGTTCCTTGTAATCTGATTGGCCCTCACTGGTGCAATTTGTTCACGAATTGCACCATTTTTACTTTAAATTGCTTCTTTTTCCGAGCCAATGAGAAAGCTTTACTAAAGTACAACAACCAATTGCTTGTTTAAGGAAACCAATCAAGTTTCTACATGTACAAACCAGCTCATTACTGGATCAACAAAACATTTGTACAGACTACAAAAATCCTGTACCTGAGCAACTGAAGTCTGCGATTTCAAAATTGATGTAATAAAGTGGTGATTGAACTTCCTGTTGTGCAATTTTGGTCTGAAATCATACTTAAGATTTCAAATCAAACTTGTGCTGTGCACTCATTTCATTTTGAAATCACTAATATGATTTCAAACCAAATTGCAGTCCACTCAGTTCAATTACCATTACTTATCCTAATCATCTGTTCCCGAACCTTTACCCTATCCCTTCCCACCAGTGAGACCTGGTAATGGTTGGCCTCACTGCAGAGTTTTCTGTTGCTCAGTGGTGGAGTATCTGAGCACAGAATCACAAAGTCTGAGGTTTGATTCCTTATAGGGACCAAAGATATGTTAATCCTTTAACTCCCAACATCCGTTTGTTAATTCTCCCTTTCAGCTACAACACATTGCCTTGTAAATTATTTACAAGAATTTGGTGTTAGCCACCTGATAAGTTTGAGTATTCTTGATACCTGTTTGCTGAATAACATATGGATATTATAAGGTGAAGTTACATGTTAATCACTTCTGAGGGTCTAAGGAAAAAGGAAGAATCTATTTGACCACACAGATTAAAATACTTCCCTTCAAGTCTCCTCTAAGGAGAAAAACAGACCTAACTTACCAGGCATTCCATGATTGTACTTAACTGACAACTTATACCGTAACACTATTAACAATCTTGAGGGCTTTTTTTTACGTTTCAGGGTTTTGTAATGTTCCATTATCTTTCACCGCAGACTTGCTTTTAATTTTTCTGGCCTTGCGAAGAAGAAGCTGGCTTTTCTTCTTGGTAGTGGCTGCTTCTTTTCTCAAGGTGTTGTCTGGTTTTCCCTGTAACTGAGCTGTTGAGTCCTCCACACTCTACATTAAGAAAAAAAAGCAAGGTCGAAAACATATGATAATAATTACATGTGAAGCAAGACTCATTTTTTTATGCTACACATGTCCTTGTTATGTCAAGAATACCAGCACAGATGTACATATTTAACACAAAAAACAACAACAACAAAATTATTCAAGCAGCAATCAAAGCATGAGTGGACTTTTTTATATATAAAGCCTAAACTAAAGCAAGTACTTTAATGCCAAAGGAAAAAACCTCTTTAAAGTATTTTGAATCAAGATACACTACATACCTCAATGTCCACTTCTGAATCTTCTGATATTTTTTCCACTATCTGGGGGAGAAGACTTGCTACAAAAAAAAACAAAAAAAACAAAAAAAACAAAAAACAGAAAAAAATCTTTAAATACTCTTGAAGGACCTAAGGGGAGGACTCAAGTCCAGCACAACATGTAAATGATATAGTAACAATTGTTCTTTTTGATTCTTCTTTCCCTCATCCCATCCTCAACAAAGCCTCTTACCTAGCTCAACAGCTATTGGACTGGTCGTTGATGTAACCCTGTTATTAGGGGAACTTTCTTCAAATTTATTCCTAGTGCTGGTATGAATCTTTTTCCTTTTTGAAGTTTTCTTGACAGCTTTCAGTCTCTTTTGTGGACTTTTTTGCTGAGCAGTCTCATCATGTTTCCTTGTGTCACCAAGGACTTTGAATTTACATTCCAATGAATTTGTTTCAGTGGAAGAAGTGTGGCTATAAAAGTAAAGAAATGGAAAATCAATACCCTAGCTACCCTACATTGATATACTTCTAACTTCTTGTCATGATTTTGACACCTTGTCTTACAAACAGATGATGAGAACTAGCAGGCTTAACAGTTAGAGGGTGTTATCTGATATTATGGATGTAACAATCATTCTCCAATGAAATTTTTAAAGAAATGCAAGGCAGTCCAGGGCAGGGTTACCAATAACTTCTCAGTACTTTATGTGTTGAAAGGAAAGAGGTTGTTGTGTGTGGTTCATTTTTACGAGGAATGTGAGTTTCCAACCTTAATGATGCCATGAGATTTACTTCTTCCTCAAGAATAAACACAAGTCCTGCATCAACAAGTGTCTCATCCACTTTGTAAATCAGAGGCATATCAAAATGAAACTCATTTTGTAAGCCAGAGATTTTTAGCTTTGGCTCATTGGGGTATAATTTGTGAAAAACATCTTCTGTGTGTCTTTTGAAAGCAGCTAGAGTCCATTCCTTCTCAGCCAGGACCTGTTGTGAAAAAAAAAATAGGATAAACCAGGCAAAAGTTTAGCAATGGATTTAGAAAACATGCAAACTTAACCCCTTATACCTAACATCAGTATGGATATTCTCCTTAGTGTTCTCTGTTCATTTCCTATGGTACCCCCAGGGAGATTTTGTTGTACACAGAGAAGAACTTCTTTAGTTAGTGACCTTAACATTTGATTCAGGGATGATATTGTATTAGTAAGGAGAAATTAGATGCTACATATAGTCTCTCTTAAGGCTTTAAGGGTTAAGACATGTTTTGACTTATTTTAACCTGAAAAAAGTAAGTACCCAGGGGATAGTAAGAGTTTTCACAGCATAAGTAATCGAAATAGATATTCATGCATGAACCAGAGGATAAGTAAATCTGTTGCATTTTTTTGTTGTTGAAATACCTGTCAAATAACATAATTTATAATAGTTATAATAATTTAGTTGTCTCTTTGAAAATTCGGCAACAAGTGCCACAAAAGGAGTTTAATAATTTTGATCTCATCCTCAGTTTAAAACATGAGGTAACGATTACAACAAGTATTTCAATAAACTTCTTATTTCTGATAAACACTGTAAACAGGGTAATCAGAACAGAGCTAGCGTATTTTAGTCATCTTAACCAACAAAGTAAAGTCATAGAGGGGATAGAAAACGTTAGGCTCTTGTTAAAAGTTTCTCTTACCAGAAATCGCTTGTCTCTGGATGAACAAACCACATTGATGCGCAATTTCTCTGCCATATTTTACCCTATTCCGATTTTGACAAGTTCGTCCGCCATCGTGTATAATAGACTACTACCGCTGACAAATATATGCGCACTAATGTTTTACTCTAGCTGCAAGATGCGCTGACCCAGCAGGCTCAATGTTTTGCTTTGAGGGAATTAAAGACACAGCGGGGATCGATCCTTCCCAGAGTAATTTGTCATCCACAGACTGTCTGCGGTACGAAAATCAATCTTCAGCTAGGGACAAGGTATGGAAATACTTCTTTCGCTTCGAAGATTTTAAGCAATAAATTGCAGATTGACTTTGAAATAACGCACAAGCCACCGTAACCGCAAGTCGTGTAACCATTTCCAAATGTTTCATAATTCATGGCTTTGACGGGATTAGCAGGTACTCAGTTCGCGAAAAAGTAATAATTTCGAAATAGAAATGTGCACTTTGTGTCTACTTTCCGAATTTTTTCATGGTTTGTCAGGTTAAGCAAAGGCTTAGCGTCGCATACAACTCGGAGAGCTTTGTAGATATAATCCCAATTTCCGTGATTCATTCTTTCATCTTGCACGATCGAGATGTAATCTCGTTTCGGTAGAACGATCAATATTGGCTTATGAGATATTTTGTTTGTGAATACCGTTTTATTGGGTGCGTCATGAATAATTTGATGCAGTGAAGACGAATTTATCTTCATACTTATATTTAGCAGTATGAAAGCCTAGATTTGTACGTGATTTGAAATCGAAACACTCGAACTTATTGGCAAGTTTTAAAACGCTACGAGCGCCTGCTAGAAGAAATGCTAATACATTGAAGTTAAAAAATTGTGTATTTTAACCCGCATTTAATTTCGTAAAGAACTTAAAGTGGAGTTTTTATTGTTTTAAATAATCATTTTTAACTGGAAGTACAATTTTTTGCGTAAGCATTTTTGTGGCATTTCGAACATTAAAGCTGGGTTAGGAATTTCTCTTCAAGATTCTATAGTAATTCTCAAGTTATATTTATTTTGGTTTCCATTAAGTGACAATTTTAGCAACAGAATCCAAATATTGGTTTCATTCATTGACTTGACTTGAGTGCTGATATAGTTTCCCTTAAATGGTAAAATGTATCCTTCATGGTTTGACTGCATTGTATAAAGGTTATGAAATCACTTGTTTATCATCCTCTGGTCAAAGTATAATTTATTTAATATTATTCAGGGACATGACTCATTTTTGGGCCTACACCTAAAGACATCTTTGCTTTAACCTTTCACTCCCGAGATCTCATTAGTGATTCTCCTTACTTTCAGCCATACAATTCTCATGATGTTGGTGTAGAGAATGTACTATTGGAAATACTAATTATCTCCTAATTGATATCTTTCCTTATTCTAGTCACTTGTTTGCTTGAGATTGTATTGGTATTTTGAAGAAAAATTATGTCTTGGTCTTTCCAGGGTTAACCCTAAACTGTCCATTGGGAGAAATTAATCTCAGTCACTGAGATGTAAAAAATGGGATCCATCTTTAGTTGGTGATCATTTCCTTTATTCTCATGACCTGAATGTGTGATTTGAGGGTGATATTGAAAGGAGAATTTAGATACTTGTCTCTCTTAAGGGTCAAAGGTTTAAAGAAAATTGACAGTCAATCCAGGAAGGAGAATTTTTACATGATATAAAAAAATTACTCTGCAGCAGCTAGGAAAATTTGTGGAGCAAACTATCATAATGTAACTCTATTCACTGTGATAAATTCTCTTGATTTTATAAACACTAAGACTAGATTGTCTTCTGAAACTAGTTCATCAAGATGAGGCCATTTCATTGAATCACTTTTCTTTGCTCTAGGGGAAAGTTGTATTGGTGTTGCATAGTGCAGCAAATTCCATCTTTCTGAGGAGTTTGTTTTACTGTGCTATTCCAAAATGACCATAGTCATTGCAATTTGTAACAGTT